GGGCCAGGAAATGTAGGTGGCGTGAAAAATGCACACTATTTATTTTTTGGTTTTGTCAAAGGCAGATGGGATTTTGGAGAGGGACTGGAAGACCCAGCTCTGCGGGGGCTGCCCTGCGTACCGAGGAGCCCAGGTCAGCTTCCCAGGCCCTTTGCCCTGGGCCCGAGAGACGGCCTGGGGACCCAGGAGGAGGGAGCACCCCCATGCCCCCCCTGCCGCCAACGCCATTCCAGAACCTCGGTCAGTGTTTCCCGTGTGGGAGCCAGGCCCAGAGAGAGCAGGGGTCTGCGCTGCCATCGCTGTGTCCTACCCGCATCGACCCTGCACCACAAGGGCTTTCTCTGGTTCCCTGTCCCCAAGACAGCGGTCCCTTTCTGATGAAAGAGCCTGCGCCTGTGGGTGAGCAAACCCAAGCTGTTTACAGCTCTTTCCTGTCCTGCGTCCGCTACTGGGTCGTCTTCATCTCCACCCGAACAAAATGCAGAGGAAACAGGAGCTGGTGAGAGGAGTGGGGCAGCGGTGCCTACTGTCCCCACCCTTCCCTCCCCTCTGTGTGCTCTGAGCATTCCTTGTCCTTCCCGACCCCCCTCCGAGAGGCTGGGAACCTGCTTGGGTCACCCCAAACCTGTGTCTGGGGTGTGGCTCACAGATCCCCACTGCCCAGCTCGGAGGACGACTCCTCCCAATCTTGAAGCCGCTTTGAAATGGAGCTGTGGAGAGGAGATGCGTCCAGACTTGGAAGCTTCTAGAACTGAACCAGGCTGCTCGGGACCTGTGTTCTGGGCCCGACCCCCCTCCCGCCCCCGCCGCCTTTTCTTTGTGGAGGTTCCTAATCTGCTGCTGAAGCACAATATTTTGGTGCTTTCTTTTCTCATTTGCTAAAGACAGTGTCCAAAGCCATTCCAGATGCCAGGACCAGGGGCCTGTTTCTGGGGAAGGTTGGTCAGTCCCCACATTTTCCTTTCCTTCCCTTCTCATTTTTATTTTTTACTTTTTGCCTGAGATAAGCCAAGTGTGAGGTGGTTTGACTTAAGAAAAATCAATGAAAATTGTTTACTATTGTTTTAAAATAAAATCTTCAACTCTGGCAGCTTGAACATGTTGACTGAGCTGATGGGAGGAGCCGGGGACGTGGCTGTGCGGACACACGACCCGAGGGGCAAGGGCGTGGTTAAGACCGGAAGATCGTGCGCGTCTCCAAGACACCTAGTCCCCTCCAGCCCCCAGAGCCAGGGTTGGAATGGCCTCTGTGACATACCCCACTGGGCTCTGAGGACAGCTCCCTTCCATTGAGTTTTTTTAGTCCCAGTCTACCTCCCCCTGTGGCACTGGCTGGCTCTGCTCTCAGTAAGCCTAGCTTCTCCTTCATGTGACAGCCCTTGAAGACTGGGGACAACCAGCATGTCCTTCTCAAGTCTCTGCCGGGATAAAGACCTCCACTCCTGCTGAATTCAGTGCTTCTTTAGTGTGCGGACAGGTGAGTATCGTGCTTTGGAAGAAATAACTGCAAACTGACCTGGGTTTTGGATGCCTTGTAGGAGTGAAAAGAACACAAGCCATTTCAGGGGTCCAATATGGGGGTTCTAACCCTTCTTTAATTCATTAACCTGAGATTCATAACAGCTTCACCCTCAGGCGAATCAGAAGTAATCCCATCCTCACATGAGCTCGAAGGCTGGGTTTGGGTTCCCCACCACAGTCCATACAACCTGGACATTTAGTTAAGGTGACTTCATCCCAGACATGTGGCAGAAGCAAACAAATCTCTGGAAGAAGGAACCTTCATGCTAGACTTCAATTATTTATACAGTTTTAAGAAATTACCATGAACAAAATATAGACAAAGATGACCAGGTAGGAAAGGAATCACCACCATCCTTGAGAACTAGCTGGAAACAAGTATTAGAAACAAACCCATACATACTTCAGGTGCTGGAATGATCGGGCACAGATTTTAAGTTGTTTTACTTTTTTAAAGAAGTAAGGGACAAACTTGAAAATATCTGCAGGACTTCGCTGGGCATGCACTGGTTGAGAATCCACCTGCCAGTGCAGGGGACACAGATTTGATCCCTGTTCCGGGAAGATCTCACATGTCATGGAGCAGCTAAGCCCGTGTGCTACAACCACTGAGCTTGCGCTCTAGAGCCTGCGAGCCACAACTACTGAGCCCACGCACAACAACTACTGAAGCCCATGAACTCTAGGGCCTGCGTGCTGCAACTGCTGAGCCCTTGTGCTGCAACTACTGAAGCCCACACGCCTAGAGCCCGTGCTCCATGAGAAGCCACTTCAATGAGAAGCCCACGCACCATAAATGGAGAAAGCCCGCACGCAGCAATGAAGACCCAAGGCAGCCAGAAATAAATAAATAAACATATATATATGTATGTATGTATGTATGTGTGTATATATATGTGTATCTGCAGAGAACAGGAAACTATAACGTGAACCCTGGCAGATTTTTCAATGAATACTGGAAAATATGATAGCTAAAAAACAAGAACTCAGTAGGTAGATTTAACAGCAGACTAGACATAGTTAAAGAGAAAAACTGGAGGTCAGAGGAAATCCAGGATGCAGCAAGAGAGAGGACGGGGCCGTCTCATGAGCCCTGAGGTTTCCCTGAATCCCGGGTAAACGCTGCTTTTTACCCCAGTTGGCACTCACCCACACGTTCACCCTGGTTGGGCTCTCAGAGAGCTGCCCAGCACCCCACCTGTGGGTTGCCCAACTCCTTTTCCCACTCAGTTGGTCACCAAGCCCTGCTCACTCCACCTTGCCAGTGTCTTTTGAAATAGCCACTTTCTCTGCCTTCCAGGCCAGTCTGGGTCCCAGCCCACTGCCCCCTGCTCAGCAGCAGCAAAGCCTCCTGGCAGGTTGCCCTCATCCCCACCCATCAGGGCCCTTCAATCCATTCCTCAGCATCTTCCTAAAACATCGTCCTCAGTGTCTTGGGATAAAACCCAAGCCTTTAACTTGGCCCATGGTGTCCAGCCCTCACTCAACCTTGGGGCTCTGCTCCAGGCCTGCCCTTGATTCCAGCCACTGCACTTTCCCAATGGAGAGAGCAAAATCAAGCTCATGCCAACCCGGACAAACTTTTAGAGGACCTAGGTAAAAGCCAAGTAATCTTTATTATTAATTTTATTATTCTCAAATTTCAAATGCTGTATTACACAAAATATATAAATTGAGGACAGTTCTTTTTCACTCATTTTGCAAAAAAAAAAAAAAAAGTTCTTCATCTGCATCATTGGCATCAGGGTCTGGTTGTCCCTGGGCAACCTCTGGGTCTGCTGACCTAGTTCTCCTGGGTCCACTAGACAGGCAGTTTGGGATACAGCAGCACCTTCTGGATTTCATGCGTGACACTGCACTTTCAATTTTATTCCAAACGTACTGATGTAACATTCAGACAGCTGGATTTTGAAAATCGCTCCTGTAGGGTATGTGACCTCCCCAAAACTTACCTCCCCTCATGTCCAGAGGCCCGTAAGACACTTGCTTGTCCTGCATTCAACACTTGCAAAGTGTGAGGCCACAGGTCACACCCTCAGGAATAATTACTACATCTTCATCGTTCTTTTGACTTTTTTCCCCCAGAAGCTCCACCAGGGGACCTCTAAGCGTTCCATCTAACACTGACTGGGGCTGTTTTAGGTGCTAAATGTGTCTTCCCCAAACAGTACTTTGCTGTCCTCAAGAACTGAGTGAGCCTCTGTGTTATGAAACCTATAGCAACTCAAATGCAACGGAATGACCTCACTTCTGAAGGATAACGTTTTGGGAAAAAATCCTGCCTTACAGTCAGACCCATACAGTTCTTAGAACTTGAGTTTCAGGAGTCCTGGGTGTGTGTCACTGCAGTGTCCTTGGCCTGCATCACTGTCTCCCCTCCCTGCCTGCCCCCGGCTGGGTCGGTGCAGCTCCGCCCTAGCGCTGCTCACACAGGGCACACTCAGCTCCTGCTGCGGGCCCTGCTTCCTGAGACCCAGCCTGCGGACACCAGGGGCCCGCCCCGCTCCCCAGCTGCAGAGCAAGGCCTCTGTGCTGTTGAGGTGGGATTCTCTTCTGGTCCTCCTGCTTGAGGTCCCTGAAGGGACACTCGTGCACCCCTGCCCTGGCAATACCCCACCCTGCCGGCCTTGCCGGGGTCCCAAGGAGCAGCCAGGCCTCGGGTGACACCCACTCCCCCACGGGCTGGGCTCTACTCCTTGCTCCCCGAGGCTTTGCCCCATGGTGTGGCACGTGCTCCCCGAGCCTGTTCCGTCATCTGCAAAACGGACACCACCTCAGTACCCGCCTCCCGCAGTGACCACCGCAGGTCAGCCAGGCCATGAAGCACTGCACCCACAGGCTGGGTAGCCTCTCCCGCCCTTGGCATCTCCGTTTGGGGCTTCACATGTGTCTTCCTCAGGGCCAGAGTCCCTCCGCTCTCCACAGGCAGCCCAGCTGACTTTGGCAGGACACCCTGCCCGTACCAGGTGCGTGGGGTTGGGGACAGATACAACGTTCGGACTGGGTGGCCACATGATCTGGTGCCTGGTGGTCCCAGGCAGTGGCTAGGGCTGGGGTCAGCACGGCTGCCCAGCCACCACTTCTGCTGGGCTCAGTGCAAGGCAGCAGATGAGGCCTTGGGCCCTGGGTGTCAGCCACACTGCCCAGACAACCAGACCCGAGGGTATCGGGCCCCACAGTCCCCTGGGAGGGCTGTCCCAGCGCACAGCCCATGGCACTGGAGAGGCCCAAGTCATGGGTAGGTGGGAGGTATCCATGAAGAATGCAGGCCTGGGTCTGGTGCCGTCCTGGCCCAGAGCCCTGAGGCCCGAGCTGGCCCTTGGCTTCCTGACCCAAGCCTGAGAGCTCCGCTCCTCTGGGAGCCCTACCCTTGGACCCACTGGCTGCTTGGACACCAGCTCCCAGATGCAGGGGAAGCTGCAGGAAGGCAAAGCCAGGCATCTGCCGCACCCTGCCTGCCTCCTCGGCTGAAACAACTCTTTCCCAACAAATTTCCCCTTTATTAACTGCCTCGCGTGATACTGTTATACAACCAGGACGTGGTTCAGGAATCAAGCTGTGTGGAAGCAAGCGAGCTGGGGCCTGTGAGCCACCTCACTCAGAAGAGCACGGAGCCACGGGGGATGGTGCCGTGACACAGCGTGGGCTTCCCCTCCACCAGCACACCTTGCGCCCTGGCCCCTCAGCCCTGGGGAAGCCTGGAGGCCCCCAGCTCCAGGTAACCCTGTCTCTAGGTCCTTGGGAGCTTAGGGATCAGGGTACAGACCCAAGCTTGGCCGCGTACACGGCAGGACCTGGGCAGAGCTGAGCTAGTAAGAAAGGGACTCCCCAGTCCCCACCCTGACGAGGGATGAGCTCAGCTGGTTCCTCTCCCAGGAGGAGGCCACGGCGGGTGAGATGCTGGGCGCCGGGCCCGACCTCCTGCTCAGCTTCTGGACTCAGCCCGGGTGCTGGCGAGGACCCACGGAAGGTACTCAGCTTGGCCCCGCGGGCCCCGCTGGGGGATGCCATCCCAGACTCGGTCGGATCTGCGGGGGCCCAGGGGGAGAGGGAGCGAAGGAGTAGGACCCGGTGGGTGGGCCAGCCCAAGGCGGCTTGGCCGTGGCACCGGCAGGCCTGAGCAGCGGGGCTCAGAGCTTGGCCTGGGGGTGGCTCTGCAGCAGAGCGCGCATGTCCAGGAGCGCCTTCTCCAGGTAGTGCGCCAGGCGGACCGCATTGGTCTCTGCGCAGCTGTTGTAGGCCGACACGGAGAAGTTGATGTGCGCCTCCATGGGGTTATAGCAGACACCGTAGCCATCTGGGACCACAGGCCCAAAGAACATGACACAGTCTGTCTTGGCAGGGACCTGAGAATGGCACAGGACCAAAGCTCTCATCCCAGCCCCATGGTGGCACCAGCCTGCCTTTCCACGTCGGCTCCCACCGTGCTCTGCCTGAGACGCCCTCTCCTCGTTTCCAGCCGACAGCTTACTCCCTCTCATTCTTTGGGGTGCAGTTCTGGTGTCACCTCCCTACAGAGACTTCCCTGACGTCCCTGAGGGGGGGCTGTCTCATTCCCTGTGCTTCCTGTCTGGACTGTGAGCCCCTGGGGGCAGGGGCAGTGGTCTGTCCCTGCTCTACCCCAGTGCCCAGCACAGGCTGGCATGGATCAGACGTTCCTTCACATCTGATCAGTGAATGAATGAAAGCGGGCGGGGGGGATCCTGACTCCTTCCTGGCCTGCCCGAGCTGCAGCGAAGCCCCCTGACCCCAGCTCCTCCTCCAGAGCTCAGCTGCTTCAGGAGTGCGCCTCTGCGCGTCACATCACCACCAAGTGACCGTGTTCTGGACCTCAGCTCCACTCAGTGCAGCCTTTGTCCGGCTCCAGTTTCTAGTGGCTTCTGTTCCCTGCCACCCCAGGGCACCTAGGGCAGTGGCCCACCTGGCTGGTGGAGAGGTTGAAGTGCATGGCGATGGCGTAGGAGGTGTCCATGAAGATGTCGGGCATGCTCACCAGGTCTTCGATGGCCTGCAGCTTCAGGCCCAGGAGGTGCCGGTCGAAGGCCTCCCCACGGATGGCCTGCAGGAAGGGGAGCTGTCAGGAACAGGGGCTTCAGGCCCACGAGGCACCGCTGCCCTCCTCAGGAGCCCATGGCGGCAATGCCTCTTCCATTCACTGGCCCCTCAGACCCGTGAGACCAGGGCAGCCAAGCAGAAGAGCCCTCACTTCACAGATGGGGAAACTGAGGCCCAGGGACCCACCCAGGGAGGCAGGAAAGTGCAGCCTAAGAGCATAGGACTGCAGCTGGGTAGCCTGGCCTCATCCTGGCAGGGACCTTGGCAGGTCACTTACATCTTGGAGCCTCAGTGTCTTCATCTGTGAAATAGGGACAGTCACTAAACTCCCTTTGCGGGGCGGCAGTGAGATCTAGATAGACCTCTGCATGTGACATGGGCAAAGCCTGGCATGTACAAGCGCTCAGGGCCAGGATGGGAACCAGACCTCCACCCCTTGACTGCAGCCCAAGCTGTCAGAGGGCAGGAACCCTGCTGTCTGCCAGCCCGTGCACACCCTCAGCATCCTGGGCTCCAGGGGCATCGGGGGAGCCCTGATGACGCAAGATCCAGAGGCCAACCCGGGCAGCCACTGGGCCTCACCTTGGTTTCTCCCACTGTAAAATGGGGATGTTCAGCTTTGCTCCAAGTGCCCCAAGCCTTAGGGGAGGGGTGTCTGATGCTAAGGGGAGCAGCCATTGGCTGCAGGGATGGACAGGCAGGTGGACAGGCCAGTGGGAAATGCCCGGGTCACGCAAGCAGGGACAGGAAGGGCCGGCTCACCTGGTTGGTGTAGGCTCGGTGGGCCTGCACGGCCTTCCGCAGCAGCCCCACCTTCTGGTGCTCCTGGGCAGGGGGAGGGGACAGGGAGCTGCAGCTTCCTGTTCTTGCCACCTTCCTCAGTGGCCCACTCCCCACTCTAGATTCTGAGCTCCCTGCGACCAGGAACTGGAGCTGCCATCTCTCTGGCCAGTCCCCAGCCAAGGCCTGACACAGGGCAAGTGCTCACTGCTGATGACTGACCCTTGAACAACTCGGGTTTGAACTGTGCGGGTCCACTTACACGTGGATCGTTTTCAATAAACTCGACAGTATGACATGACCCGTGGTGGGTCGAACCTGCAGATGCAGAACCATGGACACAGAGCTGACTACAAAGTTACATGTGGATTTTTGACCGTGCGGTGCCCCTATCCCCTACATTGTTCAAGGGTCCACTGCAGTTTCCTTTTCTCTTTGGCTGAAAGAAAGCTCCACGCTGATAAATTCATGGCTCCATCTTCCCCTAGATACCCAGTATCCACCACAGGACTGGAATACAATAGGTGCTCACTGCGTCTTGATAGAATGAGCAGGAAGGGAGAAAGCTCGAACCCAGCTCTCCCACCCTTGCCCCGGACCTCTCACCGTCACATCAGGGTTATCCATGGCCTTGACGAAGGTCAGTGAGTCCATGGAGGCCGAGCGGATGGTGTCGGTACGGCCCAGGTGAAACATGCGCAGAGAGGCACTTTCATAGGTGGCGCACGCCTGCCCGTAGATCCTGGGTGGGAGGTGGGCTGAGCACACCCCTGGCAGGTCCCCCCGCCTCCGCCCCCAGGCTTCATCCCTCCTTCATGGGGGGCGGGGCGCACCTGTAGTAGGCCAGCTGTAGTGCCATCTGGATGAAGGAGTCTGGGCTCAGCTTCTCAGACTTGGGGAAGTCCTTTCCAAAGTGGTGGAACATCAACATCGTGATGTCCAGGTCCTGGATCATGCTGGGGGTCGGGGGAGGTGGGTGAGGAGCAGACACCTGGCAGCCTCTGCCAACCCCAGGGAGGGGCTGAGGGCAGTCTCAGAACCAGCCAGGCACGATGGCAGAGCTGACTCTTGTGCTGGCTAGAGGGGCCCGGCCCCGCCCGCCTGCCACCCAGCACTCACATGCTGAGATTCTGCTTGGCCTTCTCGATGTCGCTCTTGATCTCGGGGGTGATGTTGAACCGCAGCTTCTTGGGCATGGGCAGGGGCACCATGGGAGACCGCACGAGCTCGGGCTTCTTCCTGCATAGGACGTGGGGGTCTCAGCCTCCTGCCGGGCGTCTCGGGGGCCTGGGTCCATCCCCGGGATTAGGATGGGTCCCCGAAGCTGGCGGGGACCAGCCCAGGGAGACTCTTGGGTTTGTTCTTCTGAGAACTGCCTTCATTTCAGCTTTTAAATGGCGAAACGGAGGAGGGGAAGGGACTTGTCCAAGGTCACAAGGCTGAGAAGTGGCAGAGCCAGAATTCAAACCCCAGTTTGATCGACTCTAAAACCCATGCCCTCTTCTGGCTTCCTCTGAAGAAACAGATTCCCAGGTATAAGGGAGAATGCCGTTGCTCCTTTGAAGGCTACTCTGTCGCCTCTGTGTCACCTGTCATCAGGAGCTGGAGAACTGGCTGGAGGATGGGCGAACCACACTCACGTGAACTCAATGACGTGGTCCACAAGGGTGATGATGGGGGGTCCCTCTGCTGCCGCATGCTCATAAACGAGCCCACAGGAGCCGTCTTCTGCCACGATGAACTGCAGAGGAGAATGGGGACCCCGACAGCCCCAGGTCCCTGGAGCCACTCTCCGGTTGGGTCCCATGGGTAGGGCGTCCCTGAACCATCTCAAGGGGTTCTGCTGACTTATTACTGTTATTCCTAACAGCTAACACTCACTGGGGGCCTTGGAACACCTGACCCAGGTCACGCTAAGCACATCTCGTGCTAAATAGACCTTTCCGAGTCCTCGCAACGACCCTTGCGAGTCCTACCACCCCATTTTACAGGTACAGAGGGAAAGTCACGACCAAGGTTGTGCCACTCTGCCTGGCCCCACATCCTAGGCTCTCTCTGATCTGCTGATGGATATGTCGGAGGAGTGACGCGGGTTACCAGGCCAGGCCCAGTAATGACAGGCTGACTGCTGCTAAGTATAGCCCTGCCCACCTTCTGGCTTCCCCGCTGCTTTACAAGCTGGGAAGCCAGGGACTCCGGGCTCCAGGGGAGGGGCAGGAAGTCCCGGGGCAGCAGTGGGCCAAGGCTGGGTGCATGCCTGGGCGGGAGCCCTGGCCCTGCCAGGTCCTCACCTGCAGCGTTTTGTCGAACCAGCGGTTGCCGCTGTTGAGCTCGCTGCCACCCCCGTGCAGCATCTGGCCAGCCACCTGGCTGCGGCGCACGTCTTCCGAGACCCGAGGCATGGGTGCGTCCAGGCACACGGTGAAGATGCTCTTCTGAATGGAGTGCACTGACTCCCGGTTCACCTTGTCTGTGGGGATGTGTGTGTGTGTGTGTGTGTGTGTGTGTGGTGCCATGGGGGCCAGGCCTGGGGAGGCCTCCGGAGCTTCACCTGGCAGGGGCCTGCGGCCCCACGGCACCCCGTGAGGCAGGGCTAACACCTGACCACTTCAGAAAGGAGGAAACAGAAGCCCAGGTCACGCAGAGCGCCATTGAGGCAGTCGGGGATCCGACCTGGGGGCTGACTCTGGGGACAATGCTCCTGACCAGCACGGGGTCTGGAGGGAAGGTGGAGGTGGGCTCCTCAGCCAGAGGACTTGCATTCTCACGGCGACTTGCTACTTAACAGAAAGAACAAACTAACTGGACCAACCGCACTGCGGTTTCCTCTTCTGTGGAATGGGACCAACAGCACCCGCTCCGAGTTGAGAGGATTCAGTGAGACACGTGGCTGCCCAGGGCCTGGTGTGGGCCTCCCCTCCCATCCCAGGGGTACCTTTGATGAGGGTGCTGTATGCCTTGGCCCAGGAGTTACGGTGGTTGGAGGTGAGGATGCCCACAGGCTCTTTGTTGGTTTGCAGTGATGAGTTCCAGATCTTCTCCAGCTGCATGAAGATCTGATCCGAGGTCAGGGGTGTCCCATCGCTGTGGTACACATCCAACTCAAAAAACTGTCCGGGCACAGGCAGGTGGAGAGAAGGCGGTTCGTGGGAGCCTCAGATGGGCAGCAGTCACCTCCCAGCATAGCCTCCTCCTGGCCTGGGCAGCCCAGCTGAGAGGATGGCGTCAGGCCGAGGGCGAGGAGATGGGAGGAGGTCCCTGCACTGCTCTCCCCAGGCTGGCCAGGCCCATAGCCCTTCCTGGCCTCCCCCAGGCCGGGGCCTGGCTGGACACCCAGGGCAGAGAGAGGCCCAGGGCCTGCCTGTTCCGGGGGCACATGGGCAGGTGTGTTGGGGAAGCTGACTCTCGGCCCCGCCCCTCTCCTCCGGGCAACCGAGCGCGGGGGCTAAGGCTGCTGGGGGGCCCACCCACTTGGTAGTTGTGCACCACGGGGGCTAAGGCTGCGGGGGCCCACCCACTTGGTAGTTGTGCACCACGGTGACGTGCATGGGTGGCTTCTTGGTCTTGCTGAAGCTGGTGACCGAATCCTGCTTGGGGCCCGGCACGCGGCAGGAGGACAGGATCTGATAGTACTGGTTCATGCACAGCGGCTTTCCCCCCAGGTACTCCACGGGCAGGGTCTCGCTGCAGGGGCAGAGGGACAGGGAGGAAGGCGGGACCCACAGGGAGCTGCTGGCTATGGCTGCGGGCTTGGTCAGGCAGTGGGGCTCACGCAAGCAGTGTTGGGCCCCTTCGTGTCCCCCCGCCCCCTCAGCGTGAGGTCGGTTGCAGGGGGGCCTGTTGGAGCCCGACTGGGTCAGTAGGCCTGACATCCACCCTGCTCGTGAGTCACCCTGGAAACTCCCTTCTCCTCTCTGGGCTTCAGTTTGCCACAGGGAAGATGAAGCAGCAAGTCAACCCCGGGGCGGGGGGCGGGGTCCCCTTTGGCTGGGACGCTAATTCCAGGGCTCTCTTGGAATAGGACCACCCGGAGGAGGTCACGGCGGCTGGAGCGGAGGACCCAGGTCTGTCTCCCCAGCCCCTAAAGAGGCTGGGTCAACAGGAAGTGAAAGCGACTGAGCTCTGGGCCTGCTCAGCACCCCGGCAGGGGGTGCGGGGTGTGGGGAGGGGGCTCCGGTTTAGGGTAGGGCGGGGCCGGCTGGAGGGGCTGTGGCAAGTAGGCAGTCAAGGTGGGAGGAGACAGGGCGGGGGCGGGGCCACTCACTGGTCAATCCTGGCCTTGAAATCCAACACACCCTCGATTAATTTGGCAGCGAACCTGGAGGGACCAGTTAGAGATCAGAAGGCTGTGTGGACACCCAGAAGGAGGTCCCTGGGTGAGAGAAGCCAGGGTGATGGGCGCAGCCTAGTCCAGGGAAGCGACCTACTACCTTCCTCCTCTCTCCTGCTTACAGAGAGCCTGAAGGAGTTCAAGTGCAGAACCTGCGTTCCAGTCCCAGCCCACGTAATCTCTAGGGAAAGGGATTAGGGAGATGCGCGGCCAAGCGCCCGGCAGGAACAGCAGCATGATTATGGCTGGGTTATGAGTCAGTGCCCTCTGACTCCACCCGCAGGGGGCCTGAGGCCCTGATCCACAGCCTGGAGTCTGGAAGGCCGTCACCCTGCTCTGAAGCATCAGTTATGGAGGGACCTAGGACTGTGGGGGTAGGGGAAGGGTGAATGGGAGGGCAGTGGCGTGACGTGTTCCCCTCTCCTAGATCCCTTCCTGTTTCTGGGCCTCTGTGTCCCCCAGGACACCTTGCTCATCCTGCCCTTCATCCCTGGACTGTCTGGGCCATATCAACCATGCCCGAAGCCTGGGGGTGCTCCTGGCCTCCAACATGGGGCCCACTGGCTAGAGTTCCTGGGCCTGAACCCCTGGCCCTTCCTGGGGTGCCCTGATCCCTTTAAGAGAAGCAGTGATAGCCGTGAGTGTCTAGTCCTTGGGCAGGAGATCCTCGTCACTGGTATTTTTACCCCTGGTAGGACTGGAACAGAAGCCAAGGCAAAGTGACATGGCCAAATGTGGAAAGGGGATTGTGTACAAAGGCCACCCCTGTGGCCAGCGGAGGAGAGCAGGAAGGAGTGGTGAAGTGCCAGAACTGGGGTGAGGGGTAGCCTCAGGTTTAGCAGGAGGGAGGGGCCCTAGTCTGCAGTTTGGTGGTTAACAGTTATGAAGCTTTGGAGCCAGGAAGATCCTGCTTCCTGTCTGGGTCAGCCAATCCTGAAAGGTGCCTTGAGCAGGTGCCTTCACTGCTCTGATCCTGTTTCCGTACCTGTAAAACAGGGATGACGCTCCCTACTTCCTAAGGCTGTTTGTGGGGATGAAAGATAACAGGGCCGGGGCCCTTCCGATCTCCCAGCAGAAAGCCCAGAGCCCCACGTCCACCTTGGCCACTCACCTGAGCTGGCCCTGCCGATCCACAAAGTCTTGCCTGGGCAGCACCAAACCAGGGCTGGAATAGATGACTACGGGCTGGCGGTACTGGAGATAGGCTGTTTTAAGCCACCAGTCGGACAGCTGGGGGAAGGACCAGAGCCTGTGAGGAGGGGTGCACGGGGACCAGGTTGCCCCTTCCCCACCAGGGCCAGTGGACCTGGCTGGGCACCCTCTGTCCCCTCTAGGGAGCACAGATTCTCAAAGTGAATGCTCAGATCCAGACCCCGCCCAATCCCTTAAACCCAGCAGCATCCCATCATCCTCCCTTTAGATGGAGCCAATCAGCATTAGCGAGGGAAATCAGGCAACACTGCCAAGAAGAAAAGGCTGGCAGGAAACCTGGGGTGGGGGGAAGAACAGAGGCGGAAATATCAACCATTTTTCCTTATCTTACATGTTTCAGGGCAATGATTTTAATACAATACTCTTAGAAATAAAAACGTCTGTCTGATAGACAGAAAAGAAAACAGAGAAAGCTATATAAAGAAAGTCTGATGAATGAGTTTTTGCCCATCTCAGGTAGGTACTGTCCAGGTAGGCAGGAGCCCGGGGTTCAGAAGAGCCCTCAGGAATCCTGGTCCTCTGTGGCCTCAGTTTTGTTGCTGTCATACTAGGGAATGGACACCCACTTGGATCTCAAGGTCAGGGTAATTTGGGGAGCTCACTGTAAAGACAAATCATTGCACTAGTGACAAGATGTAGGTGACACGCTGCGTCTCCACTGGGCTGGCCGTCCTCCGCCCAGGGCAGGGTATCTCTGGGGACTAGCCACGGACATGCTGCTAAAGGCTCCTGTCTTGGGACAACCAGGTGACTGTCACCCTTGTACCTTAGGTGCTGATGGCAACATTGCCCCCACTACACACTCCCCCAAGCACAGGCCCAATGTGCCTCTTTGTGGCAGGTCCCTCAATCCCTGGAGACCCAGGCGCCACCGTGCTTCCGCATCCCATCTTAAACAGCACTGGGACGTGCCTCTTCACCACACAGACTCCCCTTGGGAAACTGCTGGCCTTGGGCCCCTGGCAAGGGGTGAAGGAGGACAACGTGCACGGGTGGCACAGCAGGCCAGTGGGCGACTGCTGTCTGCTGATTTGTGACCTGGAGACATGGCCCCTGATCAGCCAGACCCTCCTGTCTAACTCGGAGCCTCCTGGAGAGCTGCTGTGTGCCTCTGGGGTTTCAATCTATCTCTCTGGGCCTCAGTTTCCTCATCTGTAGATCAGGGAGGGGCAGACAGGAACTCCCTCCTCTTGAGGACAGCCGGGCTGGGCTGGCCTTTAGCCAGGAGCCCTCACGTCACCAAGGACCTCAGAGCCTCTGACCCGAGCTCGGAGTCAAGGGGAGATCCTATAGATGTGGGCATTCCCTCAGTGAGAATCTGCCGGGCAGTGGTAAAGCCCCTTAAGAGCCCTGTGAGTGGAGAGGGGGTGGTGCCCCCAGCCCTTTAGCCAGCAGATTCTCTCTGAAGCAGTAGTTCTGGGCTAAAGAAAGTTGGAAAGCTGCCAGGTCTCAGACTTGCTGAGACCCTGATTCCAGGGTCCAAGGCCCTGACCCGCCAAGGCTCATCTGTGCCCCCGCCAAGGCTCATCTGTGCCCTCTGCCAGCTGATGACTCCCACCTCCTCTGTGCAGCCCCCACCCTTCCACCCGCTCCCTCACAGCGCCCCTCACGTTGTAGGGCCAGACCTGACTCTGGTCCTCTCCTACACACCTGCTTCTCCCTCATTCACCCCTCTCTCAACACATTCCCCTTCGCTTCACCCACACAGTTGCTTTAGGACAGGACTGTCCACCCCCGAAATATACCCTGGACCAAATGACTTCCCACCCTCTCCCCACCGGGCTCCCTGTCCCACCCTGCTTCCCTCCCAGCAGCAGGGCAGTCCTCTCTAACTTCACGTTGAGGTGTAGGATGCGCACAGACAAGGGCCCGGGGCATCCGCACGCGCTGAGCACAACTTTGTGACAGACGGAGACACAGGACCAGGACAATGAGTCACCGTCAATATAATCACCCTGCAGCCCCCTCCCACTGAGCTCAAGTCCAAGTGCCCAGTTCTCCTGGGGGCCCCGCCCCGCCCTTGCACTCCACTCTAGCCTCTGTCCCCTCTGTCTGTCGCAGGCCCAACACCGCCTCCTCCCTGCCCTCTCTGCCCCTTCAGCATGAAGGTGCCACCGTTCCCCACTCTTACTCTCGCGCCGTCCTCTTTGCTTCTATAGCACGCCACTGCCTGAGGAGACTCGTCCGCCGCTCTTGCTCTCCCAGCACCCTGCCTGGTGCCGGGCACAGAGTAAGTGCTCAAGAAACTCTGTGGTGCAAATGGATGCACCAGAGCAGCCCGTATTGGAAAATCTGGGGTGTGCAGCCAGCAACAGGCCACAGGAGGGACGCTCACAACGACCCAGGGTCTCTGGGTGGGGGGTGCCCTGTTCCCCTAACCCTGCACGCGAGTCAAGGGGACTGGTGTGCCCCTGCCTTCTCACTCACCCAGTTCTCCATCTTCCTGGCCCTGCGCTCCAGCCCCTTCTGCAGGCGCTCCCCTACGCCCCCCGCGGTCTGAAACTCTTCCACCAGCTGCTTGGTTTGGGCCCACTCCTCCTCGCTCACGATGGGCTGCAGCGCCTTGAGATAATGGTCCAGGGTCTGCTGGAGCGGGGGCACGGGCAGCCGGGGTAGCGAGTCCTGGTGTGTCTTAAAGCGGCTGGAAACCGTCATCATGGAGGAGGGCTTGAGGAAGCCCAGGGGCTTCACCTGCTGGCAGCAGAACACCCCATTCATTCTCGCACCGGCTCTGGGAGGCCCTGGCAATCCCAAAACCGAAGTCCTGGGCACTTCTGTGCCCACTCCTGGGGACA